TTCTATATCTGAAATTCTGTCCTCGCATTGGCTCATTCTGCTGCATAGACTTTCAATGGAGTTTTTAATCTTCTGGAAATCTGCATCTGTTTTATGGATTTCATTTGTTTCCTATGTTGGGATTCCATCATATTCCTCAGCTCCTCTATTTTTTTTTCTGTGTCAGCTCTAGATTTATTAATCATGTCTTGTATGATGGGTATAATCTCTGCTGTTATCTGAGAAATTATTTCTGATTTCATTTTTTCCAGGTCTCCTTTAGTTGGCGGTTCAGGGAGTCCAGGTGGCTGAGTATCAGATTTTTCCAACTTGTTGCCCTTTGGGGTTCCCTTAGGTGATCATGAAGTCTGGTTTTGGGACTTATTTACGTGTCTTCTCATTTCAACAGATGCAGGCTGTTGTGTCTTTATTGAGGTGACTTTTTTTGTTCACCCAGTGGTCTTGAATTCTCAGCAGGCAATGGAGCAGCCTTTACTGTGCTGCTCACCAGTACACCAATTTCTTGGTTCAGAGTGGTAGCCTTCTAGATCCCTGAGCTGGCCTGTTGTCTGGGCAGGCTTCTGGCTGGGGCCTGAGCACACTTGGGATGGTATCTAGGCATGCCTCTTGCTGGGGCCTCTATGTAGCTATTACCTTTGGTTGGGGGCTATGTACCCCAGTTTCTGTTGTCTGCACAGGCTTTGGCTAGGGTCTCCTCACACTTATCAGTGGTATCGGGGTGAGCCTCTGGGTGTTGCTTGTGTGCCTGTACAGCTCTTCTCAGTCCCTGACTCTGGGTGATGGTATCTTGAGCCTCTGGCTGAACCCTGTGTGCCTGAGCATATGCCTTCTGGGCGGGCCTTTGGCTTGGGTGCGTGTGGCCAAGCCTCTGGTGTCGAGGTGGAGCCCCGCCTGGGATCCACCCACAGCCACTCTGGTCCTAGCTACACAGGTGCTCCCTGGGATCTGCTTGCACTTAAGGATGAAGTGGTGGGCCTTTGGTGGGAGCCCACATGCAGGTGCAGCTCCTCTCTGGGCAGGCTCCTGGCCTGGGGGTGTGTGCCTGAACCTCTGGGGTCTGGTGGAGCCCTGGCTGGGATCCTCCGGCAGCCTCACTGGTCTGGGCCACACAGCTGCTCCCCGGGATGTGCAAGCACTCACCCCGATGGAATGGTGGGCCTCTGGCCTATAGTTGTTGTTGTTGTTGTTTTTGTTTTTTCCCTTACCAGGGGATAGAACTCAGGACCTTGCACCTGCCAGGTAGGTGCAATGCCACTGGGCTACATCCCTGGCCCTTTTAGTTTATAGTTTTATAATATCACTTTTTTTCTCTTTCTGCTTCCTCTGAGTCTAGTGTGAGATGCAAGCACATGTGTGAGAGTCAGGTTGCATATTAAAAGTCTGGGTTTTAAAACCCCATGTTAGTCATTAGACAAGTGAGTGCAGTTAGGTTATGTGAGAGCAGACAGGGGAAGATCTGTGTAACTAGTCTGATGAACCACCATTTATTCTTGTCACACAATGACACTCTTAAGACTTGTAGGCAGTGCCACAGTAATCCTCACAGCAATTCTGGGAGGGAGGTAGGGCTTCCTGCACAGATGAGGAGGTGAAGAGTCTTAAGAAATTTATCTCATTAGTCAATAATAGATTTATGCTTGTCAGTTTCCTGACCCCAGGATCTTGAAATTCTTCCAAATTTTGGAAGCTGCAGAACAATCAATCCATCTGACAAGCAAAGATGTGAAGTCATTTCTGCTTTGATGTTAGGGAGTCATTTTCTGCGGTCTGGGACATGAAGCTGTTGGAGAGATTGTGGGGGTTGGATACTATCACAGGCGCTGTACACAGTATGTTGCAATTAAGTTTCTGAGAGATGAATAGGAAATGCCTCTTGGTAAAAGAAATTCACCTAAGAATAAATGAATGCTGTCCAATTTTTATTCTGGGAATGAACTGATTTATCATACAGATTTTGTTTGATGCCTACATATCCCAGATATCCCTGTAGGTACTGGGAGTGTAACAGTGAATGAAGTAATATATACATGCATAGTGCTTACTATCAAGAAAAGGGAAAGAATGACATAAATATATACTGATGTGTTAGGTAGTGATAAGAAGTATAAAGAAAAATAGCACCAAATAAAAGAGATGGAGAGTGATATTAGCTGGGTTGCTAATTTAAGTGTGGGCTTAGAGACCATCTCTGTGATGAGGAGTCATTTGAGTGGAGTCTCACTGTCCTGGAGAAGCCATCTAGGCAGTGAGAAGAGTTCAAAGTAGAAGACATCACAAAGTGTGGCTATAGCACAGGGCATGAGGGAGGGAAAGTGATAGAAAAGAGAGGTCCAGCCTTACAGGTCATTGTAGAGTCTTGACTATTTTTTCTTCTTGGCCTTGCATAGAAATAGATGGGCTAATGAGGTAATTAATTATTGGATGAAAGCACCATAAGGCACAAAACAGCCTGTGCTCCACAGATCGCACTCTTTATGGGCCATGCTAAAGTAGAGCAATCATAGAAAAGAGGACAAACCAGCCTAGGAGACTGAGGAGGAGCCAAGTGAACTATGGAATACAGAGTGGTGGACTGGATCAAATGCTGCTGAGAAGTCACATAGGATGAAAACTGAGATGTGACCTTGGATTTAACAATTGGAGGTCATATTTCAAGTATCTTAGCTACCAATCTCCTTTTCAAACAGAGTAACAACCTGTATCCACTTCACATGTTAAGATTTCATATAAGCATTTATTTTAAATAAGTATTACCTGACTAATTTGAAAATTGGAAACATAATTCCACCCTTTTGTAAACAAGGCAACTCAACAGAATGATTCAATGACTTTCCTAATGTGAAAAACCAAGTTAGTAGCAGAATGAGTTAAGGACCTGATTTTTTGGATTCTGACTTAGCAAGTACATCCACTATCATACAATGTAAAATATGTTTTCTTAGTTGTGTTATCAAGTGATAATCTTTCACGCACAGATGCATATTTCTGTATTGTAAATGATTACAAAGAGTTTTCATTTGAAATCATAAAAGGGGATTGCAGGACCATAAAATCAAGTATAATTATCCATATGTTTCAATATGGTTGATAAATATTGCAATTGCATTTTTTCATTATGTTATAATAATATATAGTGTGATCATATGACTTTAAAAATCTTGATTTTTATTTTTTGTTAGTATACGTTTCCAGTACATAATAATTACAGCATCTTGGGAAATTGGTATATATACATATCACATCTTGATCATTTTTACTCCTCCTTCTCCTCTATCTTCTCCTTTCTATTCTGGATCCTCTTCTCATCTCCAAAGTCTACTTCTGTGTTTCATATCTCTTTTTTTTCTGTATTTTGCCCTTTAAATTATTTATATTTTGAGGGGCGTAGGTTTAGCTCAGTGACCCTGCGACTATCTGGGAAACACAAGGTCCTGAGTTTGATTCTCAGTACACCCCCCAAAAGTCACTAAATTATTATTATTAATTATTATTATTATTATTAGGTACTGGGGATTGAACTCAGGACCTTGCACTTGTGAGGCAGGAAGTGGAACCACTGAGCTAAATCCCTCGCCCAAAATTATTTATATTTTGAGTTTCTCATATTGGAGAAACTATGTGACATTTTACATTTTATATCTTTTTTTTTTCACTTAGCATTATGGTCTCAAGATCCATTCATTTTCCTGCAAATAGCTCGACTTTATCCTTCTTTACAGCTGAGTAGTACTTCATTGTAGAACTATTCCATATTTTTGTTTTAAAACTGATGTCCATATGTACTTATACATTAATTATTTTATATAGTATTATATATTTTCTTATACATACTGTTTCATTCAAAAGATTATTTTATATGCACATGTGCACCACACACAGATTAATGTTAGCATTATTACATGAATGAAATAGTCTTGGCTTATGATAATGATAATTATTCTATGACAATAAGAAAAAGTGCAAATTAGTAAGTTTAAGCTATGAACTGTAAGAATCTATTTGGAAGATAATGAATATTGTTTATAAAATATATAGGAATAGAGTATTAAATATATTTTAATACTGGGTTATATTTATATATATCAGCTTTCAAATTTAAATATATTCACATTTATAATCAAGGAACAAATTTAGCTGTGTCTTTCAATGAGTAAAACATTCTATATTTTTTTAGGCAAAAGAGAAGAAAGACTATGCCAGAAGGTGATCATTAAATCAATCATAAGGAAACAGGACTGTGTAAGCCAAAGCTCTGTAAGTGGAAAAATATCATTTGTTACATGAAAAGCATGTGTCTTTCCAGATGTATATGCCACCAACACATAGTGCTAACAAATTTATATGCCAACATACAGTATTTAACTTTGAGAATACTCTCACATTATAATATTATAATATTCTGTTTCTGAAGAAGTATGAATTATTCTAAGCATAAATAATAAACTGTCCTTAATGATAATTGCAATCAGAGAGATGGAAATTAAATCTAAACATAATGACTACCTGTTTTCTTAACTATGCAGTTTCACTCAACATGAACAGTGCTAGTTAAGGCTTTGCCCCCTTTACTATGACTAGTATAATTGTGTAGTCTACTTAAACCATGACATAACACAGAAGGCAATAGAATTGTTAGATTTTGGTTAATATATTCAATGTATTTGCTTAGTTATGTTTGTGCATTTCATATTTTGAGCTATATCAGCATTTTTATGTTGAACATCAACACAGTACATCCCTTTGATTTAGGTGAATTAAAATGCAATGTAGTAGTTTCCACAGTCTTTTAACATGCCATGCAGAAAATTGAGGATGAGGGTGATAAGTAAAATAGTCTTCCTTTCATCTGACTTGCTAGTGGAATCAAATAATATTCTTTCTTTAAAATTTTAAGACATTTTTTATTCTTCTCCTTACAGATAAATGTTGCCTCTTGCGATGGAAAATGCCCATCAGCTACCATATATAATATCAATGTTGAAAGTCACCTAAGATTCTGCAAGTGCTGTCGTGAAAATGGAGTACAAAACTTAACTGTCCCTCTGTATTGCTCTGGAAATGGCACTGAAATTATGTACACTCTCCAGGAACCTATAGATTGCACATGCCAGTGGAATTAACTTGTCAAACTCCAAGAGCTCTGACAGTATCATTATGTCAAATACATTGAACCTTTGTCACTATTATTTAGGCAGTTGGGCAGTGTATGCTATTTAATAATGTGTTTTTAGATAACTGGAATATAACAGTTTTACAGTTGGCATAAAACATATAGCCTTTGGTGGCAAATTAGATTCATTGCTTTGTTTTAGAGAAGCAAATGATTTTAAGTTGTTCAGCTGTAATATTGGTAGAATTGCAACATGGTACAAAACTGGAACTATTTTTTATCAAAAAGACTATTTTGTGAAATTCCTTAAATTTTCCTGACTGCTTATTTTTTGATTTCCAAAGTCTGCCATTACTGTCCAAATTAAGGTATTCTTTAATATCTGCTACTTAGTTGATAAATATGATCAGTTAAAATTTGGTAGCTTGGGCCAGGGATTTAGCTCAGGGGCTCCACGCCTGCCTGGCAAACAAACACAAAGTCCTGAGTTTGATTACTGGTACAAAAAAAAAAAAAAATGAAGAAAAGAAAAGAAAAGAAAGAAAAAAAATTGGCAGCTCAATAGCCATTGAGGTTTGTGTTTAGAAACATGATAGAGCTATAAAATTTTAGATTACTTAGAACTCGAGTGGATGGGTTGCTTCTGCACATTACTCTCATTTTGTGTGTTTAACAATAACTAGGGAAACAGACTGATTTGGACTAATTCACCCATTGTAACAACAGAAGAGATTATGGTGGCAGACTTAAGCTCTAGATCTGTTTTATTCTAGTCTTAGTTGTTTTATTTTGAGTAGTAAAGTGTCTATTATAGAATCATTCATTCTTAGTTTGCATCAGATAGAATTAAAAATTTGAAGTTGAAGGTGTTTTTAAAAATACCAAATACACGTAAATAGTTATCCCAATAATAGGAAGCAGGGAAATACAGCCTCAGTTGGTAAATTTAGGAGGCAGATCTTGAATATTTATTTTTATACCTTTAAAACTGCTGTTAAATATGTTATTACTGTTTAACATTGAAGTAGCTACTTGCTATCTCATGACACCTGATTTTTAAGACGTATTAGCAAACATTGAAGTCAAGAGCTACTTTGGTATCAATGTTGCTTTATCAATAAAGAGTGAAGTAAAACTATCTGAATGTATTAATAATTTTATAATGGGATACTGCAGTTTTTAAATACAGTAGCTTACTGATATTTGGAAGTAATGTGTATTAAGATCTTTGCAAACTCCCAAATTAATTTTCATTTTGAGTAACTAGTTATTAAAATTTATTCTTCAATAAAGAGAGAATGCTATAATTAGAGCAGTTGTAAATATAAAAAATTTCAACAATAGTCCCGAGGTTGATCCCCGATACCAAAAAAAAAAGTTCAACATTGATAATAAAACATTCAAATAACATCAAAAAACAAATGCTTGAGTCCTAAGAAGCTAGGTGACCTGATTTTCCATACTAGTGCTTTTACTTTAAAATCACACTTCCCAGAAATATTGCAACCTACTAGTATTTTGGGCCTCCAGGGTTACTTATGTGTACTGTACAGAAAATGATTTATCTTGTTTGTGTTTAACGTGTATTTCCTATATAAGTAAATATATGAATATCTTTGATTCTTGTTAACACATACACTGAATTAAATATTTTTGTTTAAATAAAACATTAACATTTTGCTTAAGAGAAAACATTATGTACCTCAAATATAGTATAAATGTTGTATACTGTCATCCATTTTTATTTCTACTTTGTGAAATATTTGTTGTTAAATTAAAATATTAAATGATCTTTAATTCTATTTGTAGAGAAAATGGAAACATTCTCCTGGAACTTCATAAAAGCCTAGCAAATATAACAAATATGTATTGAGGTCCTGCCATGTACCTATCACTATTCTAAACTCTGGAGACACAGGCAAAACAAAACAGACATAGTTCTTGTTCTCATACAACTTGCATTCTAGGAAGAAAGCAGACTTTAATGAGTCATGCATTATAATCTCAAAGTGGGGATGGCCATTCTATCCTGACTCAACGTCTAGAAGCCCACAGAAAAAGATTAATAAGTTTAGCCAAAAAAAAAAAAAAAAAAAAAACAACTGGAAGGAAATTCTACATGGGGGAAAAAAGTCAAAAGGAAAATGTGAAGAAGCTAAAGATATATCACTGATACATGATATATCACAGATGAAAACTAATCTTTCTATATATAATAAGCTCCCCAAAATGAAAAAAAATTACAAAAAGAAAAATAGGCCATGTACTGACTGCCCAAAGAAAAGCAAGTAATATGAGTAAATTCTTCAATAAAACAACATGATAACGACAAAAATTGGCCGTAAAAGTACTTAACTTTTAATCTGCAATGAAATACAATTTCTCTTTTACTAGCGAATATTCAGAAGTTTAATGATATTTTTATTTTTCAAGGGAAGATAGGCACTCTTGCATATCATTGGGGAATAACACAAAACCATAGAAATCTTAGAGAAGACATAGCCACGTATACAAATATTACAGGGTTGTTTTGAATTTGCCAAACTATCTATGATAAAATCCCAGAAAATCACCTGTTCTAACACAAAATGGCACTTGTGCAAGGTTATTGATTGCAGCATTATTTGTATTAGTAAAGCCTAGAACCAAACCAATAAGAATTGAATAAACTCTATTAATCCATATAATGTAATGTTATGCAATTGCGGAAAAGAATGAAAAAGAAATTTAAATGTTGAATTTGTCGATCTCTAAAATTTTCAGTAACATAAAGTATGCATAGAAATATTGAAGAGCACATGTAGATTGCTAGTTTTTATTAAACATGGGTCAAAACAAGAAAATATAATCCCATTTATATAGGAGTAAAACAATAAGCTAGTAAAATAGCACAAATAAATGGTGGAGATGGATCATATGGAGACTGGGATGGGAAATAGAATTCTCAATATAAATTTTAATATATCTTTTGATTTTTGAATTATGAATATCAATATGTCAAATATTTAAATTAGACATAAGTATATACTAATATAAACAAATGAACAATTCTAAGTTCTTCTTATATGGAATCTGTTACATCAGAAACATATATTCCAGTCATTTCCAAGGTAAATGATGTGTAGGTTATGATCTGAACAATAAATACGAGTCAACCAATAAAGCATTTCCAAACAAAGAGAACAATATGTGCTCAAAACTTGTGGGAGGAAGGGATAGTGCAGTTCAGAGAACTGATAGACTGAGAATGTCTTTGTGTGTTTTGAGTAATGGAGAGTGGTAAAAATGGTTTTGATAAGATGGACTGGAAGTCAAATAATAAGCAAAAAAGATTGGCAAGATGCTATTGTGATATAATGAGAAATTTTCGTAACAGTGCAGGTGGAAGAAGTTGTAGTACACGATATAGTTTAGAGGAAAAGTCAAGAGAACTTGGAAATCGTGTGAAAAAGTGTTTTGGGAATATCTGCATTTGATGAGCAAACGCGTGGTGGTGAATGAGAACTTTGGAGAGAAAGGAATATTTTGGGGTGGGGTAAGAAAGAGATGATTCAATTCTGGTCATGTTAATATGGTCAACTGGAAAGCTGAGTGAAATTATTAGTACATGGCCATTTATATTTGTCTGGTGGCAAGAAGAGAAGCCTCTGATAGAAATATCTTGTTAACATAGACATAGTATAATGCTATGAGAATGAGAATAGCCAGGGAATAACATAGACAATGAAAAGAAAACAAGTTCTACGATTAAGTACAGAAGCCCTCTGACGTTTAGTGGTCATAAAAAAATGAAAAACAAAAATAAAACAAAATGCAGAAATGAAAAGAAAACTAAAAACCAAAAACAACCAAGGAATGAGACTGAGAACGAATGGTCATAAAGGTTGAAATAAAGGCTAGAACCTTGATGGGGGTCACTGAAACCAGGGAAATAGAAGGTTATGCTAAGAAATGGAGTTATGATCTATTAAATGGTAATGAGTCAGCGCATCTACAGACATAATTTAAAAATTATGAGCAAAAGCCATGGTGAAGATGTAGAAATATGATTGGTGGGTAGTAAATGGGACTTACTGCGTACCTACTATGCACCTATGCAGATCAGACCAGATGCGTGCTCTTGTTTCTGCATCCAGTCTCTACTGCATACAGTCTTTAGCTTTTCACTCTGCCTGCAGAGGCCAGGGGGCAGGAACAGCACAGCGCATGTGCCCCAATTCCAGCGCCGCCATTGGTCTTCTCACCTTTCCCACAGCACCTTCTCAGTCCTCTTTGCGCGAGGAAGGGCACCTTCCCCTCTAGTCTTCTCTTTTGGAGCTCTTGCTTCCCTTATACTACTGGGCCTGTTAAAATGTATGCCTCCAGGAATGCCCGACTCCGTCTCAAAAAGAGGAGGAATTAATACCCTGTGAGGTGAGCTCTGACCAAGTAGTGACAGGCCCAGGACCCAGTAGGTAAGCTACTCACTCATGCTTCTCTCTTCAGTCACCTGTTCTAGATGCAGTGGTTCCATTTTGTCTTTCTAGATACTTCTGTGTTTTATGGGAACTGAGGCCAGCTCTCCACCAGTCTGACTTGTATTTGCTTCTCCCCTCACCACTCCACTTTCCATCAAATCCTTCTTTACAAGTCTTTCCCATCTCAACAGGTGACAGCTGTCAACATGTTGTGGGCTGTGTACACATGTACCTTTGCATGTATTTCCTGATAAGCTCAGAACCATGATGAAATACTTTTAGCTTACTAAGTCAGTGTTGTAAAGTCTTATAACCATTTTACTATGTTATATTGAAAGGGAAAAGGGTAAATAATAACTTTCTAGAGCTGTTGTTAAGAGAAAAAAATAATAAAAAATACCCACAAAGAATTTTTCTCCTTTTTGGTTATTTATTTTCCTTTCTCCCTGCCTCCCCCAGTCATAAACGTGTACTTTATAAATTTTTAAATTCATAAAAACTTTTAGGAGTTTTTCAGCAGAGATACCTGCTATATAATATTCCATTAAGTGAGTATCAGAATGTATTTAACTAGTCCATTAATGGATATTTGTTTCTTATTTTCCTTATTATAAATCCTCATGCATTAAGAGGAATTAAAGAACCAGATGGCATTAGCATGTGAAAAATTTCTATTTGTATTGTCAGAATTGTTTGCCACAACTACTAAAATAATTTTTTTCTTCCACAAACAGTATCTGAAAGTTTGCTTCCTTTGTCATTATCATTACTGGATAGAGACAGAAAAATTCCTTGATACAGTAAGCAAAAATTGTCAGCTTCTATCGTACTATATATGAATTTGCCATTAAATTTAAACCTTGTTTTATACTTATTGTATTTCTTCTTTTGTCTATTTTTCCTTTGTCTGTTTTCTTATGTAGTAATTTAATAGTGTACTACATAGGGACAAATCATTCTGAAAACTTTAACTCACTTGTCTATACCTTTAAGGTTATATTTTAATTAATATAACTTATTCATTTAATAGATGAATATAAATTAATTACTGATTTATACAACTCAATTAAACTGAAAAGGTGAAAAGGCAAACATGATGTCTCTTGAGGATTTAATGCCTAGGAGAAAAGAGACTCTTAATAGGAATTGAAAGATTTCTACTTTTTCCTAGACAATTAATTACTGTGCAATACTTCAAGATTAATGTTCACATTACACAGAAAATAATCTTAAACTTTTGAAACTCAGATATTTCAACAACTTATGAAAATTAATATATTGAGAAGATCTGTAGTTGTGACATATAGATTCAGGAAATTTCAAAACAGAGAATAAATATTAGTGACCCAAAGTGGATTAGAATTCATGTATGCCCTTTATTCTAAGACAGGGCCACTATGACCTGTTGAACAGTTCGAGCCCAGTATAAAGGAGCTCATCTAAGGAAAGGGAAATGAATCTAGTGAGTCTAGTTCAAGCTTCACAAGCCAAGACTTAGGTACTCTGACAAAAGAATATTTTTGGCAAGAGGAAGGAATTTCTTTTTATTTTGTACAGGGGCCCTGGCCTCTTATCAAACCAAACCCAAACAATTTTAGAATACCTCCTATTAGAAGGAGGAGGCTATTTCTAATAACTCCTAAAGTAAGAAGGGAGATACTTTTCTGATTCCTCCACCACACATTATGCTTTTGTAATATATCTGTCATGAGCAGGCACCTTTTGATAATTTATACACCAATTGACAACTGTCTTGTTCCTAGCCTTTATTTCCTAAAAAGTCATATAAATTGCTATAGCACTAAGAACCTTGTATGTTACATTTTTTTTTCTTTTGGTGGTTCAAGGAGAACTTAACTTTTTTTTCACTAACAGCTGCTAACTAGAAAGCTTGAAAACAAACTTCTATATTAGATTGTAAAAATTACGACCTATTACCAAAAACAGGAAGTATTTACATAAATGTAGGGATGGGTAAAAATATAGAGAATTATAAATTTTTATGAACCAATATAAGATTTAAACTTCTCTGTCCCCTCAATTATATTTATTTTTGTATCAAAATTATGTCTGTTTATATTTTGTATTAAAAACTATGTATGAGTGCACATAAACACACACATACACTTTAATTCAGTTTTAAAACCTAACTGAGTAGTTCAGTATGTACATAAACTAAATATAATCCTTACTTCTAGACCTAATGTCTTTATTACTGAATTCTTATGTTTGCTTTATTGCTTGGTTGCTTGATATTTATC